GTGAATATTATCAACTTGGTATATTGAAGTTAGACTACAATTTCATTTGTATGTTTTTTTTTTTGAGTACCTGACTTTTTGCATACAAGAATATGTGTCCAGGACATCCTGCCTCTTTCAGTGCTCACACATTTTCACATTACAATGTTCAGTGAACCATAAAATCTTGGCCAAAACCTAAATTTGTCATATCATTAAAATTCACATGATAATGAGCATTGTCGTTGGTTCATGCTTGTTATATTTGTTTTTCGTAAAATTGTTTTGTTGTTAATTAGGCTGTTAGTTTTCTCAATTGAATTGTTTCATATTTTTCATGCCTGGGTCTTTATTACAGACTATACCCCATGGATTTTTCTCATTACATCCACTTCATTTGAAATTTGGTAGATAGTTGTCATGTTGGCAATCATACCACATCTCCTTATTCTTATAGTGTGTACTAAGTTTCAAGCTGATGTGACCACAAAATAACTTAAACCAAAACTTTTTACCTACCACATTTCTATATTCAGTAAACAGTGACATCTTTGTCATTACCCTAATTTGGCATACTAGTACACATTTCATTTTAAATAATGACCATGTGTACAAAGTTTCAAGTTGATATGATCACAAACTACCCTAAACCAAAACTTTAACTTGATTTAAACTTTATCCATATACGAGACAGGCATACATATGGACACATCGACTATTGTAGTGGAGGCATACAAATAACTCTTCAGGGATCATATGACACACATTTGATGATGATATTTTTCTGGTTTTCGTCATGAACTGGTACCAATACTAACACAAGAGGTCTTTCTTTAATATATTTATTTATCACAGTGTGAAAAACATAAAAATTTGAATTATTAATCAACAAATATTCACTAACAATTCTTACACAAAACACTAGCTTTCCAATATAAAAATGTTATAACTAATTTAATGTGGCTCTTTTCGCCAGAACTTAAATAGACAAAAAAGTTGACTAAATGGTTTATTTCTTAAAAATTATAAGTGATTTGTAATTGTAAAATTTTTTTGTAAATAGCTCTTGTTTTTTTAGAACCGATAGTAGAAAAAAAAAACATGATCAAGAAAAAAATTGCACGAATTCAAACTGAAATGCAGTTCTATAAAAAAATATTGAAAGCCATACTTTATTATTATCTTGAGGTATTGTTACAAAATGCATTGTTGGATTGATAAGCATCTAAGAAGCTTAAAAATAGGATAAACACTAATGATAATCTTGGCAATTTTGATTTATGTGATTTTAAAATACTCAATTGTCATTCTTACCCAGAGATGTAATTAGGCCCTAAAAAAAGGCAGTTGGATTTTTTTCCCATCAGTAATTATTTTATTGTACTTATATTAATACAATATATAATTATTCTTTTTAAAATAGTCCATCAGACAAGTTTTTGAACATACAGTAGAGCTGACAATCAGAATCATTTCTTACTATGACTTAATTTGAAAACTTCTGAAGCTGTGGAAAGGACTTGAGATCATGGGAGGCACTTTCTTAAGACCCTGACCACCCATTAAATGCAAGTTTTCAGTTTGCTTCTTTCAAAATTCAAAGGAAAATGCAACCACACATATTTAATTAATTTAAGTGCCTTCCATCCCTCTCACTGATAAAACTTGGAACACAGTAACAGTGAATGGGATTTAGAAACGTAGAAGGATTCAAATCTTTACAAAACGTGAATTTCAAAATCAATAATTCTTGTATCATATTTCTCATGCACTAAACAAAATTATTTCAAATCCTCTAAAAAATATTACACATATAAAAATGTCAAAGCAGCACACCACACAACACAATACTCTATATGTTTAATTCAAATAACAATTTGGCTTTATTTCTGATCATTTTTCATTTGTATTCAACAACTGTCTAGTTTTTCCACTATTCAAGAAGAAAAACTATCTTATTGGCCCACTGTTCAATGTTAAGCTACAATTTAAAAAAAAGTTAATTCAATCACTTACTTTCATGAGAAATACAAATTTAAAAAAGAGCAGTCCTATAGTTACATTTTTTTTTGTACATTTTTTTAACTGAGATAGCTTTGCATTCAAATTCAATTTTGTAATTCTTTATTTAAAAGATGAATATCCATTATCAGCCAGAGTTATACTATATATATATATAAATAAAATTGAGAATGGAAATGGGGAATGTTTCAAAGAGACAATAGCCTGACTAAAGAGCAGAAAACAGCCCAAGGCCACCAATGGGTCTTCATCACAGCTAGAAAATGTATATATATATATTTTAGTATTTTCCCATGTTAATCATAATATATATGAAATATAAAATCTGACACTTGCTCATTCTATTAATTGATTGTAACTTGCTGAATGCCCAGTGGTCAGTATTTCAGGCATTTTCAGTATGATTATTTTTAATAATATATGTTTAATAAATTGTAAAACCCCTCTGCTTAATGCTAATAATTCAATTGTACAATTAATCGATTTTTAATAATATGCATAGATATTTTCTGTGTGAAAGACGACCAATTAAAAAAAACTGTGTTAACGGATTTACGTGAAAATTTATGGATTTCTCTTGAAGTTTTCTTAAAGAAATGACATGAAAATTATGATACATCAGAAAAAAAAATTCTACATTAACATAGGAGCTGCGTTGGACAGAAATCCACTTTGTGCAAGTGTGCGTATACATATACATATGTATAAGACTTTTGATTGATTTTGGAACAGTCAAATACCAAATAAAAGATGAAATTTGGTAGGTTTTGAAGGGTTCTTTAATAACAGATATATCAGCTCAATTTTCAAACAGTGACAGACTTTGCATAGAGATTTCCTCAAATCCAAATAGGTTAACAGATGTATTGATATTCATTTGCATAAGGTTGATTTCTATCCGACCAAGCTCATATATGTTGCATTTTATTTAGCATATAATTATCTGGAAAAGAGCTAAAGCAAAAAATAAAATCGTTAGGTATGAAAACAATATGATTACATACAGATCCTGTGTCCATGCTTCCCCAGCAAGGATATGAAAATGCCCTGTTCTACTTTATATTTTAAAGACCTTTTGGGATCCCTCTGGTTTTATCTAAATGATACACACCTTAAAAATTGAAGGCTGAAATTTCATTGGCTGATGTAATTATTACCCGAACAGAGTGTTTTAATTGGTATGAAAACTAAAGAAATAGGGATCTATGGAAATTATACATGTACATGATGTAAGGTCATATTTATGTGTTTCTTATTGTCAGAATATCCAATTTTCCAGAAATATTAGATAAATGGCGAGTGAAAAAAAAGATTTAAAGTGATGGTATAGTCATAGACTCCTAAATATTTTATTATTCCCCAAGAATACAAAAAAAAGTCTTCTTTAATATCCTGTTAATAATGTCAAAGAGCTCTTAAGGTGCAGGTTTCTGCAGTCTAAATTCCCGAAAAATTTATTAAAACAAAATTAAAATTTCAAATGGTCACCTTTTTTATATAACCTCTGATTTTAGTTGTGCAGTTACTATCCATAACCATAAAGACGGAATAATTTACCAGCGTTTTTTAAATAACAGGATGACACTCTGGCCTTAAATGTTTACAAATTAATGTAGTTAAGGGCAAAATAAATTCTAAAAATGTTATGACCTGATTCTAGTGAGCATAATTCCTTATGTAAAAATGGTTAGCTTTATTAAAAAGAAGATAAGAAGCAAAAAATAATTATCATTTCGCACAAAAATAAGACTTAAAGTGAGTAAATATTGAGGTAAGAAACTCTACATCCACCAAAAAAATGCTTCAAATAAAATAACTGTACAACAGAAAGACAATTATACATACAAATTTTGACTTATGGAGCTTAAATACTGATGAATGCATCAAAAACAAACTGAGGTTATTCTAGAACACAATTTCTGTAGATATTCATAAAAATAGATGACTGCATTTAAGTATCAAATTGAACTGTATCTAAGTATTTGAATTAATACAATAAGCTTAAGGTTGAATAACTTGATAATTACAACAACTAAAAAATGCAATAAAACGATATATATGTTGTTACTTTTTTTTCTAGAACTGGTTTTAATTCTAATAACTTTATAAAAAGCTGTTTTAAAAAATATCACATGTTGAGACAAAAAAATATGTTTGAACCACTGTGAATTAAAGTTATAACATGTATAAGTCTTGGTGTAATAAGTTTTAGTACCGTGTTTTACACTTGTTCACAAATTTTCTATTATCTATAGTGATATAACAATGCAGACTTACAGCTTGATGAAGCTTATAATAAAGTAAATGTTAATATTAGTCCGTGAGAAAAACTACTTGCAAATTTCAGTTTATTTCAAAGCTTTGCCTATTGTTCTATAACTGTGATTGTCAGATAACTAAACTTTCAAACACCCTGCCGTCTAACCCAAGGAGCAAATTCTAATTTTTTGATTATGAAAGCAGAACAAAATAGAAATTGTTTGTATTTTGTTGTTAAGTGAGGATTATCAAGTGCCTTATCTAAACTATTGTGGATCATTTTTGTGCACTAGTTACTTCTTCAATAAATAGTTTTAAGGGTTTACATAAAATTCAAGGGATATAACTCTTTAAGATCTAGAGTCAACAGAACATAATAATATCACTGTCAAAGAATGAAATCATCAAAATATCATTGAAAAATATACAAACAGAAGACAAATAAAGGAAAAATGTACTAAGGAAAGACTAATCAGAAATAATAATCAGAAATAATAAGCTCTGTTTACACAAAATTAGCCTTTCTTATTTATATTTTCGAATACTTGTGTTTAGGGTTTCCCTACCCCCTAATTTTGTGTTCAGCCTTGATGTTTCTGTGTTTAGGGTTTCCCTACTCCCTAATTTTGTGTTCAGCCTTGATGTTTCTGTGTTTAGGGTTTCCCTACCCCCTAATTTTGTGTTCAGCCTTGATGTTTCTGTGTTTAGGGTTTCCCCAACTCCCTAATTTTGTGTTCAGCCTTGATGTTTCTGTGAAGATTTCTTCACAATTAACTTTTGACCAATATAAGTTATTGTAATTTCTTATTCATAATATGAGACGATGATGTAAACCAAGTTAATCAATGTCATTTTGTTCATTGGTAGATTACAAAAGAGAACTTATGATAAAATGATATGTATATTTTACTAGGTCCAAACATCTATCTATGACAAACCCACTCCCCTTCAATATCATAACATATGGACCTTGAAAATTCTTAGCGGAGAAACCCTCAACACACATTCTTTTTTTTCCCTTTAAATCTAAAACATGAACAGGAATATGTCAATTTAAATCCAGCATTGATGCATACAAGTATTCTAAAAATTGAAAGAGATGGTTCACTGTTTACACTATCAATCATGTTCTGGTTAAGTCAATTTGGGAATGAAACATTTCAGCAGTCATATATTAGCTAAAACATTTATCAAATTATTCATCTATGTGAAAAATTGTTTGTTTTCGTAGCCATTGTAAAGTAATATCAAATGTAGTAAAGCTAACTCCAACAGCTATAGGTCCTTTGATCCAGTTCATACTTAGGCCTTTATATAATCCCCTTATAATTCCTTCTTCTCTGTATACACTTGTGGCAGTCACCCAAATACCAGTGTAGTCATTGACATGACCCGTACAACCTAAAACAATAAAGTGTATCAACATTTAACATTACAATTCTATGTGACTCACGGTAGTACCTGTGTAGTCATTGATATGACCCGTTCAACCTTAAACAATAAAGTGTATCAGTTGTTAACATTACAATTCTATGTGAGTCACCGTAATACCTGTGTAGTCATTGACATGACCCGTTCAACCTTAAACAATAAAGTGTATCAGTTGTTAACATTACAATTCTATGTGAGTCACGGTAATACCAGTGTAGTCATTGACATGACCCGTTCAACCTTAAACAATAAAGTGTATCAATTGTTAACATTACAATTCTATGTGAGTCACAGTAACACCAGTGTAGTCATTGACATGACCCGTACAACCTTAAACAATAAAGTGTATCAATTGTTAACATTACAATTCTATGTGAGTCCAGTAATACCAGTGTAGTCATTGACATGACCCGTACAACCTTAAACAATAAAGTGTATCAATTGTTAACATTACAATTCTATTGGAGTCACAGTAATACCAGTGTAGTCATTGACATAACCTGTACAACCTAAAACAATAATAATTTCAAAGGTACTGTAGAAACAGAAATCATTATGTGTACTGTAAACTAACTTATTTTGGCTCATACTTTAGTTTTCCTTTAGGCCTATCTAGCCGTCTTTGCAACGACTTATATTCACAATTTTTTAGATCTTATTTATATCAAGGTAGATCAAAGTTTTAGGTATTCACAGCAATTTATTTTTTTCTACTCGCTAAAATGAATTGCTCGCAAAAAAAAGTATTGTTAACAGTATCTATTAATGCTATTGTTGAACAAAGAATACAAATAAATTATTGCGATTTTAAGGAAATGCTGCATTTAAATAATGCTATCAAAATATCAAATGCGAGATTTATTTTTATGCCTACCTTTCCTTGTAATTTCGCAATAGTAAAAACATTGCAAAAAATTTCTGAATTTACAGCATAAGAATTATAGAATAACTAATCGAAGAATTCAAATAGAGAAAAATATTCAACGAGTGACCGAACAACACATTAATTCACGAATGCGCGTAGCGCATGAGTTAATTATCAGTGTTGTTCGGTCACGAGTTGAATATTTTTCGATATTTGAATTCTTTGATTAGTTATTCTTTTTATTACATTGGCAAATGGCTATTTTTATGAAATTAAAGTAGAAAATGTAAGGAACTATATCTTTTTCTACGCATTCACAATTTGTTTTGATCCGACGTTATCGACGTCTTGACAACGCCTATTGTTGTATGACGTCAGAGGAGTGAAATAACCACGTTTATTTCACATGTGAAATTATCGGTTTTTATTACAATGGGAAATCAATGTAATTCATTGCAACCAATGTAATAAGGTGTTTTACATACCAGCTGTTTGCATCCGTCGTCTAACAATATCTAATGGATAGGATAGAGATTGTGAAGCAAACCCTGCTACAGCACCCATACACCATCTCTCTATAGGCTTTGGCTCTTCTCCTTTGGCATATTCTGTTAAAATATACCTTCAAATTCAATCATTTTCATAAAGATATGAGGGGCGGAAGGACTCTTTTTGGGAATGAGGGATTTTAGAATAGTCAATTAAATCGTCTGGAATATTAGATTTCAGGATTTAATTATATCAAAATGCAGGAAAAAACACATTTTTTTCATGGGCAGTAAGGATTTGGCATTTGGTAAATATTCATTATGTCATATTTCATTTGAGAAACAATAATTTTACATTGTTTTATGTCCTGATCTATAATTATTACCTGTAGTAAAAATTAAGACTTTGAACTAGTTTTCAGTAGCTGTGAGTATTCTATAGATAGTTGTTTTATTGGCAATCATACCACATCTCCTTATTTTTATTAAGATTGGAACTTCAGGTCTGTTTTTTGTTGGTTGTTTTTAAGCTTAGTACCAACCATATATAACTACAAATGTATATCCCTTTAGAACTGATGTTTACAGTTTGTTCTTGGAGGAAGCCATTATTTTTTTCACTTGGCAGTTTGTATATAAAAAGCTTGTACACAATGTTGTGTTGTGTTTTGTGTACTGTTGTTTGTCTATTGGTCTTTTTCTTTTTTTTAGGTGGTTGTCAGTTTATTTTCAACTTATATGAGTTTTAATGTCCTTTTGGTATTTTTCGCCTCTCTTTTGCAGATTCGGTGGGAGGTATTACTTAGAACTACCAAATTAATGTAATTCTCAGTTGAACAAGTAGTTATATATAGTTGCACACATTGTCTTGCTACGAATTCCACCACTAGTAATTCAAAGTATCAAATTACAGTTCTAAGTAAGTGTCTGACAGTTCTGAAAAGTCCTTATACATTACAAGTTATCACTGTCAAGCTGTTCATCACTTTTCAGTACTGTTTGATGAAAATATGAAGTGCTATCAACATACTGAAAGATTCAAAGTATCAGTTCACAGGAAGTAGGTGTCGGAAAGGTTGGTAAAGCACTCACACATTACAACTCATGAATATTAAGCTGCTGACCAAAAAATGAATTCCTTCTGTTCCATAGTAATGCAGAAATGTGTCATATTAATATTAAGTGCATTCAACATATATTTACTTAAGTAAAGATATCAAAGATTCAGGAAAAAGCATATTTGTTTATGCATGATGAATTCTAATTTTTAGGTTGGATGTCCCACTCCTAAGGCTTAACAGCAAATAATGGGTCATACATAAAATATTTCAGATTCAAATATTGGTAAGCAGGAAGAAGGTACCTCATGTTCCAAAGAAGGCTCACACAATACAACTCATCACTGTCAAGCTGCTAACCAAATGTGAAGTAATTCTGTTCAGTTGTCTTAGAGAAATGTGTAACAAAAATAACAGTTGGACCAAAGAACTGATAAACAGACAGTGGAACCATTGGACATGGTGACATGGTGCTTGAAATATGTATAATATAATGGTATAATAATGTTAATGAGCCACTCATAGGAGCTAGGTCAAACATGTGAAAAAAATAAAATTATGAAAAAAGTTCAAAGATTTGAGGAAAAAATGCTTGAGGAATTATATGGCACATGAAAGCAGAGCAAGATAATCTTTGGGAGTAAACCATTTTACTGTTTACTATAACATTTAACAACAAGAATGTGTCCGTAGTACATGGATGCCCCACTCGCACTATCATTTTCTATGTTCAGTGAACCATGAAATTTGGGTCAAAACTCTAATTTGGCATTAAAATTAGAAAGATCATATCATAGGGAACATGTGTACTAAGATTCAAGTTGACTGGACTTCAACTTCACCAAACACTACCTTGACCAAAAACTTTAACCTGAATCTCACACTATCATTTTCTATGTTCAGTGGACTGTGAAATTGGGGTCAAAACTCTAATTTGGCATCAAAATTAGAAAGATCATATCATAAGGAACATGTGTACTAAGTTTCAAGTTGATTGGACTTCAACTTCATCAAAAACTACCTTGACCAAAAACTTTAACCAAAAACTTTAACCTGAAGCAGGACAGACGGACGGACGGACGAACAAACAGACGAACGAAAGAACAGACGAACAAATGGACGCACAGACTGAAAAACATAATGCCCCTAGGTGGGGCATAATAATATTACCTGCATGATGTTTCTTCAGTGTTTCATACGTGAAAAAACTAGTCCCTGAGTACATAGTTGAGCCTAAAACTGTTGGCAGATACCCTCGCCATAATGTCCGAAATCCTTCCTGACGATATGTCTTGATTATCACTTGAAATAAATTAGAATACCTACAAATATAAAAATCTCAGTGAGCATGTATTAATTTATATACAAGTTTGTGTAAATTCCTAAGGTGGTTTGATAAAAGCCATTACTGGTACAGATTGAATCACAGGGTAGATGGGTGCTTGCTATAAAGATGACTAAATGAGAACGTTAGCGTAATAATCCAGTTTTAGGAAACTTTTGTACATGTACAATGTTATTGACCTGGTATATGACATGTAATGTGCCCATGAACCAAATCAAATTAATGTCTTGTTTGTCACATACACTGCTCTTAATTTCCTTAATTTGTTTTTAAAATTTTTTTTTAACAAAAAAAATTTTACTTGGCTTTTTTCATGTGTTTCAAGATGTTAGTTTCACAATAAAATTGAGAATGGAAATGGGGAATGTGTCAAAGAGACAACAACCCGACCATAGAACAGACAACAGCAGAAGGTCACCAACAGGTCTTCAATGCAGCGAGAAATTCCCGCACCCGGAGGCGTCCTTCAGCTGGCCCCTAAACAAATATATATACTAGTTCAGTGATAATGAACGCCATACTAAACTCCAAATTGTACACAAGAAACTAAAATTAAAAATAATACAAGACTAACAAAGGCTAGAGGCAAAAATGCGGCGGGGTTAAACATGTTTATGAGATCTCAACCCTCCCCCTATACCTCTAGCCAATGTAGAAAAGTAAACGCATAACAATACGCACATTAAAATTCAGTTCAAGAGAAGTCCGAGTCTGATGTCAGAAGATGTAACCAAAGAAAATAAACAAACTGACAATAATACATAAATAACAACAGACTACTAGCAGTTAACTGAAAATGCCAGCTCCAGACTTCAATTAAACTGATTGAAAGATTATGTCTTCATCATATGAATATCAGGCACAATCCTTCCCGTTAGGGGTTTAGTATCATACCATCATAACATATATGAGAAGAACATAACCAGTGTCATGCCAACAACTGGTTTTTAAATAAATGTGTTTAGTGCCGATGCAAAGACCCTATAAGTGAATCAATATTAACGCCAAAATATGCAATCTTTAATGACCTGACAACAGTATCGTAACTATATCCTTTCTTAATAAGTCTATTTATAGGTTTTGTTAGCTTCAGAGGTGAATACTGACATTTTTGTGCTTTATAAAGAATATTTCCATAAAAAATTGGATGTAAAATACCTGAATGTATAAGAAGTCTGCATGTTGAGCTATATTTACGAATGATATCCTTATACCGATGATAAAATTTAGTAAATGTTTTGACTAGTTTGTGATATCGAAAACCCTGGTGTAATAATTTTTCAGTAATACATAAATTTCTCTCGTTAAAATCTAAAACATTGTTACATACACGAGCGAATCGTACAAGTTGAGATATATAAACACCGTAAGATGGTGACAAGGGAACGTCACCATCTAAAAATGGATAATTAACGATAGGAAATGAAAAATCATCTCTTTTATCATATATTTTAGTATTAAGCTTTCCGTTAATGATATAGATATCAAGATCGAGGAAAGGGCAGTGGTCATTGTTAGTATTAGCTTTATTTAAAGTAAGTTCAACAGGATAAATTTCTTTAGTATACATACTGAAGTCGTCATTATTGAGAGCCAAAATATCATCCAAATATCTAAAAGTATTATTAAATTTGTGTATCAGATGTTATTTCGATGGGTCTTTGCTGATTTTTGTCATAAATTGTAACTCATAGCAATACAAAAAAAGGTCCGCAATAAGTGGTGCACAGTTAGTCCCCATTGGAATTCCGATAACCTGACGATATACGGAATCTCCAAAGCGAACAAAAATGTTATCTAGTAAAAATTCAAGGGCATATATAGTATCAAAGCATGTCCAATTGACATAGTTTTTTTGTTTATTGCTACTAAAAAATGACCTAAAAGAGTTTGAACATATATATTCACATTCTGACTTTTTAAATGCCCATTTAATTAGGTGTGTGAATTTTTTCTTAATTAGAATGTGAGGCAATGTGGTATATAGGGTAGAAAAATCAAAACTTTGAACAGATTCAAAATCACCAATATATGCATGCAATTTATCAAGTACTTCCAACAAGTTCTTGACACTCCAAAAGTAATTAATTCCACTATTTTCGAAGGCCTTATTTGAACAATTTATTATCAGGTTTTTGATTGTACCAAGTGTACTGGTAAGAAGAATAGACAATTTAGTAGTGGAACAATGGCTTGAAGACGAAATGAATCTATATTTGTAAGGTGTTTTGTGTAGCTTCGGAAGCCAATACATAGTTGGGACTTTCATTGTATTTGGTTCTGCTTGTAAAGCGGTAGCTAAAAGTTTATGTTTGTTACAGATGTCGTTTTCTGAAAATGGAGTCAGTTGGAATGTTGGTGAATTGGTGATTTCTTTTTTCAGAACCTCAATGTAAAATTTACGTCAAACAATAATAATATTATTAGCAGCTTTATCGGCCGGGACAAAAACAAATTCCTTGGCTAGTTCTTTTAGTTTATGTTTGATACGAGAAATAGGTTTATTGTGGTTATTGTTAAGAGTAAAATGTTCTTTAAAATGTTGAATACATATATCAACTATGTTCATTACTGATTTAAAAAAAGAGTCCAAAGATTTTTTGTCAGCTTTTTCCCGTTTTATCCATTTCAAACAGTAAGTATGGAGTGAGTCGTGGATGATATTACGACACTCATTCCAATTAATAATTGACGGGGAACGATATTTAGGTCCTTTACTGAGGAATGATTTTAACTCTCGGTCTTGAACGATGTTAAGATCTCCTGTTATAACATGGGAAATGGGTCCATAAATGTATTCGGAATTACTGCAATTACATGAAGTAGGTGTATTTTCACTGATATTAACATCTTTACACAATTGGCTATAATTAAACACAAATTTCCGGGTAGATTTCTTGTAAATATAACAAATAAGAGGGAGCTCAGTATTATCAAAATATCCCGGAATTTGTTCTTTAACAGAATGGTCGTTGAAAATACCGGCAATATTTACAAAATCAAAACCTTTATTGACATACTTTATTTTAATAAACTGTTTTTTATGATCTTCAGGGCGATCAATTTTGGGAAACAGTTTAGAATAACAATATGCCATTATAATTTGAACGATTTCATACTTAGGACTGCTATATGAAATTGTGTTGCAATCCTCTAAAATTTTATTTAACTTATTAACCGGTAGTGACAGAGCTTTGTTAACAGATAATGTCTGCCGTTGTTTTTTGAAATAGAAATTATGTCAGAAATAATGGTATGATTGGTCCGAAATTTTCTTTGATTGCGATTTTTTCTACGACCATGAGAACGGTTTTTACGAACAGTTTTAGAAACTATATCCAAAATGTTAACAGAATCGGTTCTTGATATATTACCAATTCCCATGATATTATCATTAAGACCGAGAGGGTAGACTGTCTGTAATTTTTTAATCCAATTTAATTCAATTATTTTCCGCGATCGTACAAACTTTGAATGAGATTCACCAGGCTGCTTATTAACTACTTCTAAAGGTTGAACTGCTAAATATTTAATAGGATGATTGTGCTTCTTAAGGTGTTGATAAATGATACTTTTGAATTTATTGGGTTTTTTAAAACGATACAGATGTTCTTGAGTGCGCTTAGATAAATGTAGTCCAGTTTCACCTACGTACTGAATACCGCATCCCGGTTTGTTTCATGTGAGTAAATAAATTATACTGTTTGTTTTTCAAGTTATATCAGTTTCAAAATTTAAAGAAAATGTGCGACCATTAAACGTGGACCTTACCGTATTGTTGGTGGAAAGACGGGGACATGTAAGTCATTTTTTGGCATGACACTTATCAATAGAAGGGTAACCACGATTTTTATTGTTAAAAATGTTAGCGATGGTAGTATTTTTAGATAAGCGAACATTTAAGAACATTTCAGGTAGGAAACGATTCAGAATTTTTAGTTGATTGCATTCAAATGTGACTAAAAAAAATTAGTTTTATCATAAATGTGGATTTCGTTCAAAATGGCAAAATTTAAAAGTGTCCAAACCAAATACTATATTTCATATGCAGCCCACGGTTACAACTGTCGGGTTGTTTGAAAAAAGTCAACTGAAACAATGATGATGATGGATGGCTGCTTAACTTGCAGTGGCAAATTAATACACATATTCAGGACAAGAACATGTTAATGTAATATGAATATTTACCATGCTTTGTAGTAGACTGACACGCTGAGCTGGATTTCTAACGATCAGGATTTTTAACGTGCTAGTTCACAAGGTAAGAGTCCGCAGGAAGACATGTCACCTTTCCCGGACACATTATTCTGACTCTGAGCTGACCAGTCTTTGCTCTTACTCCTTAATGCTGCATGTTTAGAAGAGAAGCAGCAAATACCAATTTTAAGTCATTGGTTTGACATGACCGGGGTTCAAACCCACGACCTCCCGCACTCGAGGCGAACACCCTACCACGAGACCATCAAGGCGGTTAACTGAAACAATGAGACATTGTTGAAAGTTGAGGTTCAATGTTCAGTGTCAAACTGGAAGTGGGGAGTCCGAGTGATTGTTGGCATGTCAAGTAATTGCCTGATTATATAAAATATATTGTTCTATTTTGAACATCATGAACATATGCATGTTCAATGGATTTTCCTCTCCATTACATAACAGGGTCCTGTACTTCAGAGGTAGCCTAGGAATTTGTTTATGGTAAAAATTGGCTTAGGATTAAGGGCTAGTGTTAGAGTTAGGTTATAAGGGAAGAGTTAATTCTTTCCATTAAAGACCATTCACTGACCTCGGACTAATACTAATCTGAACCCCTGATAATTTGACTTACAGATTTTTCTCTGTGACAGCCATCCTGGCCCTGACTAGATCTAAAGGATATGTTAAGGATGTGGATGTTACACCGGCTAACGATCCAGCTAAAAACCTCAAATGTGGTGGTAAATGCCTGTAATACAAAATTATACATTAGGTGTTTAACATGGTTTAAATCAACTTCATTCTTGAAGAAATTTGAAGCTCAAATAAGACTCAAAACACATGTTTTTTTTATTTTAGTCCTAAATGAACATATTTTATTAGAATGATTGTAAAGTCAAGTAATAAAAATAGGACAGACAGTTTCAACACTACTTAATTTATCAAAAACTATGAAATGTACATGTGTTGTCAAAGATTTAATTGTAAGGAATTTCAAATATTAAGAATATTGACAAATATTTTGCAGTTGAAACAAAGAAAGATAGCATAAATTAGATTTTTCAACAAAAATTACACATTTTGACATATATCTTCGAGTCAGATACATTGTACATCCAGCACATGCAAGTACAAAATAAGTATTTATATGAGAGGGTTATTCATATAGACTTACATGGTAGTTAATTATATACATGTAGTTGATACTTGCATGTGGTCGTTACTTGTGGAAAATTGACAAAACTTTTTTTTTTTACAAAAACACTTAGGAGAGCCTTTTACATAAGGCCACAACTACATTTATTCTGTGGACATGATTGTTAACTACTTGACCTCATCTTTAAAATGAACAAAAAAATCTAAAATTGAAAGTTCAAGTTCCAGTGAAAAATTTATCTTTCTCCCCCTGTGCTTTTGCATGTTTGGTATATATTTGTCTTCTTGTTAAGTTTTATCCTATATAATGCTATATATGTAGAATAACTGATTGAGGTCAGCAGCAAAAAATCAAGGTCAGCAATCAACAGTCACCACATACATCTTTTATTTGGTCTCAGTAGTTAAGTAATGAAAAGCTAGCAATCAACACTCTTAGAAATGTTAAAACAATTTCAGCGATTCCTCAGATTTCTCATGTTTCTAAAAGTTCTGAATTCATTTATACTACAATTGTCATGATTGCACTATAACTTGATGAAACATTATTTTACTGTATGTTCATATGTTTATCTCCTGTGTAAAAAAACAATAAATGCAATAAATGCTCAACAAAATAGGCAGCTTACTTTTTCCGTCGGTTTCTGTTAAGCATTCTTTTATACTGTTCATGGGCTGTGTATTGTATTGCAGCATATGGAACAATTCTCAACATTGTGGCAGAATTGCCTCTCCATAGAAATATAAAACCTTCATGTTTTACTGTATGGAAAATAAACTTAATGGCTGATTTGAAAGAAAACCGTCTGTTCGATACTGAAAGTAAAAAAGAATCCTCAAAACTGTTTTGTTATATTCATACAGTCAGGGATATAACTCTATAGGGTTATTATAGAAAAATAACATACATTTGTTATTGTGGACTAAAAAGTCAAAGAACTGTGATAATATATGTATGTTACATGTTTCATATAGGGATATACATCATAAGTTTAGTTAAAATGTATACAAGTTCTATTGATATTACTATTGTCTTTATGTATACTCAACTATAGAAAGATATAACAGTTCACAGTTTGCCAATTATGCATACTACACCTATGTTATTACAGAAAAAAACATGCCTGTAATAACTAAAGGGTGTTATCACAGCTTCTCTACATCACTCCAAAGCATTTGACCAGACATACATCATGCTTAATTACAATGTATTTTAATTTATTGTAAGAAATGATGACCAGAGCATGTAATAAGGTTCTGTGCAAGCTTCCCAGTAATTCCCAAGTGGCTCATACAATAAGTTACATTCCTTTAATAACTAAGCCTTGTTATTACAGCTAAGTTGATCCCTTAAAAGCCTCATCTCATTGATTTACCATGGTTAATCAAAAATGTATTACTTTAATTCAAACATTATCAAGGCTATGTATTTAGTTTCTGCGCAAAGTCTCAAGAGTTCCCTAGAGCCCACTATAGATTAAAATATTTTTGATTTATTTTACAAATAACAAACATATGTTATTACAGATTTAGAAAATTTAAGGAATAAAGAGTAGACAACTCATGAAAGTATCTGTAATAACACATGGAAGTTATTTTCTGTAATAACCCTATAGAGTTATATCCCTGACTGTCATACATGTACAAAAGACTTAAACAAAATTTTTTTATTCATACAAAAGATTTAAATAGTTATTTCACATAATAACTTAGCGTAATTCACTGTTAAATGACTGTTCCAGGTACTGAAAAATTTGAGCAATGGCGAGATCGACAGTTAATGCCACTTTTGACAAGAAACATTTCCCATTCCAAAATTGTAGGATGCTTTCACATGTTATGATTCAAGGAAGAATTTAAACAGGGTGTCACTAACTGCCATTTAAGAGCACCTGTGTGCTTTGTTTTGGTCAATCTGTATTTTTCTGTTTGTTGTTTTTTGGTCTGTTGCTTTGCTTTTTGATGTTTTCTGATTTTGGCCATAGTGTTGTATGTCTTTCTTCCACTTATGGATTTAGATTGCCCTCTTGGCATCTTTTTACTTTTATATAGACAAGGTGAGCTCAATCAAAATTTGTCAAACTTCAAATAGCCTCTTCTTCCCCCCATCAATCTACTAAAATAAGAGAATATTTGTATAATGTCCTAAAGTATTCATTATAATGGTAGGAATAATATACAAACACAGTTTTTGAAAGTCCTAGACTTTGGTAGGATTTGAACTACTTTCTACTTATGCCAGTCTAGAATACATGTTTAAATGGAGGAAATAAATAAATACACATAAAGGAAAACTGATTTCTCAAATTTAGTTTTGATAAATAGGACTTACCCTGGAAATTTATTTTTGTTCTGTCTAATGGTGCGATTACAGTTTTGGCTACAGCACCAGCTACCGCTCCTGCCACCAAAGATGTGATGATCTTGTTATGGTTCGGGACCTATAATGTAATGAGAATGTTGTAAGTTTATTCTTCTACTCAATCTTCCTTCATCACAACAAAATTTTGATATATATAAGTGTGAAGCTACTGTTAATTCAGATAAGCATTAATTGTATGCAACATTAATTTTCCTTAAATTGCAATAAGTAATCTATTTGTGTCCATTTTTCAACAATTGCAATAAAAAACGGACACAATAATTTCTGAATTTACAGTATTCAGTTTTCATTCTTCATTCTGAATCAACATGAATATGCATGTAATATTTGTCACTTGATATTTAGTAATATTTCAGCAATCATTGTTGAAGACCATCCACTTTATACATTTTTTGTCATATAAAGATGACAAACAACAATAAAGGTATATCGTTATATAATAAAATTGAGAATGGAAATGGGGAATGTGTCAAAGAGACAACAACCCGACCAAAGAGCAGAAAACAGCCCAAGGCCACCACTAGGTCTTCAACACAGCGAGAAAATCCCACACCCCGATATTTCCGATGCAAAGATATAATAGTTTTTTTGTGTGTTAAAGAGTCATAGATCGTTACTGGCACATCAACATGATCAATATCTGGCAGCTTTAACTAGTAATACGAGAACTCAACCTTCCCATGTTTATCTCTATTACTTACCTTAGAATTAAGTTTATGCTCCTCAACATGAAAATGTTCATCACCATTTTTGACATTTCTACCTAGGTTACCTCCCTTTGTCACGGGAGAAGTAAGTGTAATATCAGTGGTATTTAGCACATCTACAGCAGATGTTTCTTTCAAATTTACACCCATTCAGCTACATCTGTTTAAAATACAAAATAAAACAGTAAATAAATAAAGGTTGGATCCATAGTTTAACAATAATTATCATGATAATGATTCTAAATAGCAAGTGCAAAAATACTTGTCCTTGGCTTTCACCTTATGTTTAAACTGTTCAACAAAAAAAGCAAGTTACATTTGACTTAACCCATGTACATGATGTAAATGTTTAATCTAATGCTGGTATGTCAGGGACCTTACTAAACCAAAGGTCTGTAGATCTGGTCAATCCATTATTATTGAGTGTAATAAACAGATACGTATACATGCACTGTACATCTGTTGTAGTACACCTCCACTGACAGTTTGTGGGCACAACTTTCTTCGTGATAATCATGATAATTTAACGATTTAGGTTTGTTTTTTTTCAAATCAAAATAATTTTTGTGTTTTCTTAATCAAGCACAAATGTATGTAAATATGTTTGTGCGAGAGTATATGTTGGTGTCTTTTTGAACTGTGTTCATACTTAGTGAAGCTTAATCTGTTAATAAAATGCTTTCTAAAACATGTAAAAAATCTAAATTAAGTAAAATTGATTTTTTTTTGCTGCTTGTCTTAGTATATAAAAATAAGGAGATATGGTATGATTGCCAATGAGACAACTATCCACCAAAGTTCAAATGAAGTGGATGTAAGCAATTATAGGCAACAGTACAGCCTTCAACAATGAGAAAAACCCATACTGTATAGTCGGCTATAAAAGGCCCTGACATGAATATGAAACAATTCAATTGAGAAAACAATTTATGAAAAACAAGTATGACAGACATGAACCAAAGACAACCACTGAACTACAGGCGCCTGACTTGGGACAGGCACATACATTGTAAAGAATGTGGCCGGACTAAACATGCTTGTGAGCACTCAACACTCCCCCTAACCTGGGACAGTGGTGTTACAGCACAACATAAGAACAAACTATATAAAATGCTCTGCTGGGCGCAGCTTGATACGACCGCAGAGGTCGAACCCTGAACAGTTGGGGCAAGTATGGACACAACATTCAAGCTTGATACAGCACTGATTTGGATTGTGATTAAATGTTTGACACAGCACAGGTTTCTGACACAGAATGAATGTGGTTTAAGAACTTTTTATTGTCTGGAAACTAGAAAAATGCTTATTTTTGGCCCCTTATTCCTAAACGTTTTAGGCAATTACCCCCAAACTCAATTCCAGCTTTCCCTTTGTGATATGGAACCTTGTACAATGTCAGAGAATTCCATACACTAACACACAAGTTATTGTCATGAAACTAGAAAAATGCTTGTTTTTTGCCCCTTTTTGGTCCCTAATTCCTTAACTGTTGGTACCATAACCCTCAAAATCAATCCCAACTTTCCTTTTGTGGTATTGATTTTTGGTAAAATTTCGTAGAGATCCATTCACTTAAACTAAAGTTAGAGTGCGAAAACCAATGTGTCTTCGGACGACTTACAAATGTAGTATCATGAGTATGTTTGTTGAGCATTGCATTTTAGATCAGTAAATAATTTAATAACATAACAATAATTTACAGAAAGACTTCCTTATTTGATACACTGACCAATAATGACACAAATTTAGCATGATTTTTATTAGATTTTAACTATACATGCTAAATACACATACAATCACAATTCCTTAAACTCTAGCATGTCTAGTAAATGATAATTTGTGATCTTAATTTCCATGCAGCCTTTAGCATTGTTTAGACATGTTAGATAATTACATAGTTTCTTTGTTACACTTTTTGACCCAGCATGTATCAAAAATTTAGCTTCCATGTATTTGGCCATGAACAATGATGAACAATAATACTTTGGCAAAAAGTTACATCTAAGTGTTCTATAAATACAGGACAAATCAACACAAAATGGAATTCATCTTCAATATTATTCATTTTACAACATCTACAGAAATATGATTGCTTCTAGCAATATTGTCAAAGCGACCTGTTTCTAAATTTAATTTTAAGCTTCCACTGCGTAATTTGGTAAGAATATTGGTATTCAAGTTATTAAAATCATATAGCAAATAATTCTCCATACAAAAATTTAATTTAAAACATTTAAAGATGGACAATTTTTCACAAGCATTAGTGTGAGGCATACCAGCTTTGATAATATTGGTCTTTGATATGAGATTTAATCATCGTTAATATTAAAAGTCAAATGATACATTTATGTTATCTTGGTTAATCCATATATAATTCAAACCTAAACTGACCAAACATTGCCAAAAGGCCTCTTACATTGGATGCCCAATTTTTTTTGCCTTTACACCCATCAATACACATGATACATAAAATTTTGTATACATTGTATGACGTAAACAATATTAGGTTGGTCATGAATTAAATGCAACCAATATTCAACAATTCTATATTTTCTTAAAATACACATCAGGAGCTAGCTTGATGTTCTACATAAAAACTAAATTGGTGCAGTTTCACCCAAGTTGAGTATATAGCAACAAAAACGATCATGAACATACTCTACATCGTTGGCCCAATGAAATCCCCATACCTCGGATGCATAGTTCAGAACAGATCCAACCTTACTATTGAATAAAAAACACTTTTGACTTGACTTGGTCATGTTGGTCCAATACATGTATTAAAATACTCTTTTCATGGAATTAATTAAAGATAAAAGTGCTCTAGCTCCATGTTGTGCCATTCTTTTTTCAGATTGAACAAATTTACCATTGAAATGTAAAAGCATACCAAGATATGTATAGGAGTTGAGGATTTCAAGTTCTTGAACTCGAAATAAAACTGATCAGTAACGGGCTTCCAGCTATTTCGAAACACAACAATTTTTGTTTTGTCCTTATTAAGTTATATTCCACCTCCTGCAGTATACTGAAAGTTTATCTAATAAAATTTGCAATGCATCAGGGGACTTTGCTAGCAGAACAGTATCGTCAGCAAATAATAATAAATATATATGAGAATTAAGTCAGTTCAAAAATTAGGACATTGGTTGCATCTCAGTAATTTCTATAGCATCTTGGCTGAATTTTTTATATTCTTCAATATATTTCTATCTCTGACAATGCCATTGCTAATATGTATAAAAGTGTAGCCATGCTATTCCCTGTTTATCCATGCTCAAACCCCCTTTAAGTTTAAGCCCCTCATTAAAGACCTAAACTATTGCATGTACCTGCTGGGACCAACATTTTACCCTGCACATGTGGGTCAAAGTCCATCTGCTTCATATTTGTTTCTACATCGATTGCATCCTGAATCAATTATGTTAAAAATTGTTTTGATTAAGTGCATTAAGATTTTGCGTGATAAATAAAGAGGGGTCATCTGAAGTCTTCATGAATGTCAACATCATCAACAACATCCGTAAAGCAATGTTTGTCCCTTTTTATGAGAGACGTTTTCATGATTAAGTTAAATATACGTATATTGTTTACCTATATAGGTCTGTGTTTACATCAAAGGCAATATATTTGGGAATTTTTATGCTTATGCAACTAAAAAATCCTTTTACATTTTGATTGTTGCTAATATCTCGGTAATATGTAGCAGACAGTTAGAATTACCTCCCTTTGAAAGAAAAAAAACATGCTGAAATTATTTTCTACGGTTGTCTTTATTTGACATTTTTGGTAGAAATTAATTTAAAAATGTAAAAAATATTCGGATATAAAAATATCAAATATGTCTTCAAAACACAAATTTAACGTTTTGAGAGTATCTGGTATGAGGGGAGATAACTCTATGCGTGTAAACAAAAGTTGAGAAGAAAATGGTTTGTATCAATTAAAGCTGAGTAATCTTGTTTAACAATTGTTCTAATGATTAGAAAGTCAGCTACTAATTATTTGTTTCTATTTTTCAGGCACGATACTTCAGTCAGAGTGATATAGACAGTGAGTGTAATTATTTAATCTAATCATAACATGACTGGTCAAAAACAAGAAACCTGATTTATGACAAAGTCATTTATGACCACACCCACTTAGACAGAAACAAAACGTTTCGGCCATGGAGCCGGTTCGGTCTTGGTCGTTTCGGCCCTATACCACTTCGGCCATGTAATGCCATGTAATAAAAGTCATTTCGGCCAATCTAGATTATAGTGCTACAGGAACCCTTTTTCGATATTCAGATGCTGTTCAACAAGTTCTTTATGCATACTACATTTAGTAAAAATCCAAAAATTAACAATGACAATGAATGGGTTAAGGCAATGGTACCTAGTTTTACAAACAAAATATACTTTACAGTTGAAAGTTTTAAAAATTCTCGTCTTGAAACGACCAGTGTCTTATTTGTAACAGGATCTGCTTACCCTTCTGCCAAGTTCTGGAGCACCTGAGATCACCCGCAGTTTTTGGTGGGGTTCATGTTGCTCAGTCTTTTGTTTTCTTTGTTGTGTTTTGATTGTATAATTGTTTGTCTTTTTTTTTTTAGCCATGGCATTGTCAGTTTATTTTCGACTTATAAGTTTAAAAGACCTTTGATATCTTTTGCCTCTCTTTGACAAGCGAAAAATGCCATGTGACAGGAAATGTTTGTGGATATTTAAAAACAAATACAGAGACAGTTTTCTGCAAGCTGAAGCATACTGAATAAAATGCATGAATGGGGTTTCGATTTGACACTTTTAGAGGTCACATGTATGATAGGTGTTTTATGATATATCAGAACCATTGTCAGGACAACAACTAATACACTATTTTGTTCATTTTGTTTCTTTTTGCTTTTTGGTCGGTCCACCATAGGAGGCAACTGCCTACATTCCTTCACATAATTTAGGCCCTGGTCTTCACAAAATGACATACATGACATAGGCAAACAAAAAGGTGACAGTCTTTTTTTGAAACGATTTAATTAAATAACAATTTGATTTGTTTATTGTGAGACATATGCCTTTGTAAATCACTTAGACACTTGTGTAATCCAATTATCTATTTCAATATACACACGTACCTGTAGTGGAATCAATTATCTAATATAATATTTATTATTTAATCCAGTACAATTGTTATTATAATATTTTGAAACAAAACAATACATTAATTTTCTTCTTTCATATCAATTATTTTTTACTGATCATTCAGCATAACAGATGTGGGGGTATATATTTTGATCGAAACTTCAATCTACTGATAAAAAATAAGAAAATTTAGACCTTTACATGGCTCTGCTGACTGTGACATATTCTAAGTCGAATCATATATAAAGAAATATTTACTTGCCTCTTATTTTCTTATTCAAAACATTGATAGGCAAGGATATGAAGAAAAAAGGGCATAATGGACAGAAATGACCAAGGCTGAAGTAGTGTATGGTCGAAACAACATATGGCCGAAGGGGTTTATGGCTGAAACGTCTTGAAAGCCTTCAGACTACAATTGCATATTTCTCAGCTCACTATTTCATTTCAAATATTTTATTAGTGTTAATTTTCAAAGACTTCATACATATATATACTTTCACATAATAAGATGGAACATGTAGACAAAACATTTACATGTTGGTAAAAATAATTTACAAAGCAATAGGCCACTTCACGGTTATTTGTCCCCAAAACAATCCCGCCACAGCATAATGTAAAAATGCTATTAAATGTTCATTACCTACAGGTTAAAGATCAACATGATAGGACTCTAAATACAAAAAAAAAGGAGACATGATGGTATGATTGCCAATGAGATAACTCTTCACCAGAGACTAAATGATATAGAAGTTAACAACTATAGGTGACGGCCTCATTATTTACAAAACAATAAATGAAAAACAAATATGATGTACATCAACAAACAATAACCACTGAGTCACAGGTTCCTGACTTGGGACAGGCACTGTTCCATAGTTGATCATGATGATAAGATTATAGTTAAACAAAATCAACTTAATCAAGTTGGGTTCCTTAGATTTGTAGGAACATACATGTAATTTATTTTCTTTTCTTATCATGCTTATAGAAGTGCATAGCAAAGCATGAAAATAAGGCAAAGAAAATTAAAACAGAAAATAAACTTTTAATATTATTTTTTGGATAGGATTTACCTTTTATTTGATTATGAAAATTTAAAGAATTTAGTACCAAAAATTAATGTTTTTCACACTATACATTGCTATATAAACTTAATTATTACCATCAGAATTATGTTGAAAACAAAATACAGTTTTATTACTGCAAATAAGGAATATATATTACAACTTATTGATCTTGTACTAGCTGGTATCATTTTTTGTCTAGCCTTGACGGAGTCAAAAAGCGAGACATAGGTATGCTGTTTCCGGCGTTGGCGGCATCAACAATGTATCAGTTTGTGATTAGGTCTAGTTTATGGTGAACCACTAGTGGTAGGTCAATGATATTTGGTATGCAGTTGTTTTAGCAGTGTCACATCTCATTACCATACAGAGTATTTGGCCCTGCCCCCTCAGTCATGGTCTATTGACTTGAAACATTTGCTTAGTTTACATGTATTAGTTTGTGATTAGGTCAGTCCAAGGGGAACCATTAGTGGTAGGCCAATGTTAATTGGTATGCATTTGTATAAGCATTAGCAAACCTCAGTTCCATTGAGTTTGTGATTAGATCAGTTTAAAATGAACTGCTAATGCTAAATCAATGATAATTGGTATGCAAATTTATTTTCATTTGCAAGTCTCGTTTCCATGGAGATTATATAACCCCCACCCCCTCATCATGGTTCATTGACTTTGAAACTTTTACATAGCTAGTTTACAAGTTAATGTTTGTGTTTCGGTTTGTTTAAAGGGGACTTATGATAAGTCAATGGCATTTGGTATTCAGTTGTATTAGCATTGACACATCTCATTTCCATGGAGATTGTTTAGCCATTTACCTCAGTCATGGTTCATTGACTTCGAATATTTGCATAACTTACATGTTAAAGTATTGCTATTTTAATTTCAACATTTGCATTATCAAAATTACAAACAGGCGAGACATATCTCTGTATTAACAGTTTATGATATGATTTATCTTAATAATGTTTGTACTTTTTTGTTCTTTTCAGAGTTCAAGGAATGCTTCTTTTATCATGCTCGAAAGAGTATCAAAAATGAAGAAAACTTGTCAATTATAATGAGATCCCTTGGGTATAGTCCAACCAAAGAAGAAGTATCAAAGTATTTTACAAAATATGGCCCAGGTAATTAAATATGATAAAAGATGGCCCAGATACCAACACACAAATATGACACTGGTAACTACCTTCAAATAAATACAGCTCAAATACAAATGTTTTTGGTCCAGGTAACTGCATACAAATAAATGTGGCCAAGATAATTACATATTAGATGGATATGGCACATATAACTAAAACAGAAAAACACATAACTACATAGAGAACATGTGGCCAAGACTACTGCATTGTACACAAGAACGAACAGAAATGGCATGGTCAGACTTTTTAGTAACCTAACAAAAGCAAAACATTAAAAACTTGACATTATAAATAAATTGAATATTGCTAAAACTATATGAAAGCCATGACTAAAGAATTTAGACAAGTTATAAACAAATTATATATATATTTGTTAATAATAAGAATATATAGTTAATTGTCTCATTGGCATTCATTTCACATCTCCTTATTATACAGTAAAAGTGAACAATTATAATAAATATAAATTTCTTTTAAGCATCTTACATTCCTAGAAACTTTCAAAATACATTCAGCATGTGATTTGTTCTTAATTTAAATGAAACATTCACCCTAAATATTAAGTAATCAACAATCAATAAATATTTTAACTTTTGGAAAAAATTTTTTTTTATTAATAACTTCAAAGAAGGGTAAATATTTTTTTCTTGGTAAAAATTCCCATGTAATATATGTATACCTTCTTATAAGCAGGAGACGCTTTCCTTTTTGACACACCAATCCCTGCTCTTTTTGGAGTTCATTCATTTTTTTGTCATTCAATTTGCTCAGTTTTTCATTTTTTAAACCTCTAATTGTATCTTCTTAATGGATAAACATGATTAATCAATAAATTATTGTTGCCTCTATTTCATGAAACATTGGAAATATTTGACCTAATACATGTAGTGAAGTAAATATTTTCAATATTTTAAATATCCTTCAGATTTTCATAATAAACTATAATAGTTGTTAACTTGTAAGTCATTTGGTCTCTGGTGGAGAGTTGTCTCATTGGCAATCATAGTCGTTTTATTTTTTATGTCCCTGCCGTAGCAGAGGGGGCATTTAGTTTTACCCTTGTCTGTCTGTACGTACGATTGTACGTAGTCCAAAAATTTGTTTCTGTTCTCTAACTTTAGTTTGTCACAACCAAATGTTATGAAACTTATACATAATGCTTATTACCACAAAACACAGATCAGGTTTGAATTTTGGTGGCATCACTTTTACCGTTCTAGAGTTATGCCCCTTTACAAATGGAAAAATTGCAAAATTTTTCGTTTCCGTTCTCTAACTTTAGTTTGCCTCAACCAAATGTTTTGAAACTTATACACAATGCTTATTACCACAAAACACAGATCAAGTTCGAATTTTGGTGGCATCACTTTTACCGTTCTAGAGTTATGCCCCTTTACAAATGGAAAATTGCTGAATTTTTCGTTTCCGTTCTCAAACTTAAGTTTGCCTCAACTAAATGTTATGAAATGTATACACAATGCTTATTACCACAAAACTAAGAACAAGTACAAATTTGGGTAGCGTCACTTTTACAGTTCATGAGTTATGTCCCTGTTTAACGTTATATGCAAGCGGGGGCATCATCTGTGTCCCATGGACACATTCCCCATTTATCTGAAATATGTAATATTTGCCACTGGACCTTTTACAACCATCAGTCAATTGTACATGTCATATTGGGATGTGGATCGAGAGATACAAACTAGAGTTTAAAAATAGACTACATCTATGTATCCTTTCAGTAACACCGTATATACTTGCAACTACTACCAGTAATGGTAATTTTTTTTCTTCCAAACTTTATCATCAGAATATGATTGAATACATGTATTATACTTTTCTTTATTAACAGATATAGAATTTGCATCTTTCCTGGAATGTATGCATGACCACAAAGGAATAGAAAATCCAGAAAAAGAATTGATAAATGCCTTCAAAGCTCATGATACCCAGAGTAAAGGCTATGTTAATGCATCTGAAGTTAGACATATTTTAATGAATCTAGGGGAAAAATTAACTAGCCGAGAAGGTATGAAAGTATTGTTTAGATTCCATCATATTATGTAGCTTCTGTATTAAGAAATATAATGTTTACGTGATTGAAGTAGTGTGTGATTTTCAGATCTGCTATCATTTCTTGTGTTATGATACTTTTAATGTTTAATACGCCAACACTGAGCATGGATTTTGTTTTGTTACAAAATAATTCGGCTTTTATGTTAAGATCTAATTTGACATTTGGCAAAAAAGTTTATTATTTTAAGGGGAACTGTTGTTGTGATTTTCAGACCGGCGTGGTACCGGTAGTCACTCAGCATTTGTTGAAACTTTGAATTTTAATTATACCCTCTGAGCATGATTTTTTCTCAAGTGGATGTATACTGTTATTGACAAGTTCATGAAGTTCTGTAGGCTATAATGTTTTTGACTGTCCATCTGTCTGTCCGTCAGTCCTGTTCTAGTCATCGCAACTCCTCTGAAACCACATAACAGAATTTCATGAAACTTTATAGATAACAAGGACATACTATGTAGATGTGCATATCAACAGGAAATTATGATTTAAATTTTTTTCTAGGAGTAATGCCTATTTGAACTTAGAATTTCTGCCTAAAAGAGGGACGAAAGATACCAGAGGGAAAGTCAAACTCATAGATCGAAAACAAACTGACAATACCATGGCTAAAAAGACAAACAGACAAATAATAGTAGAGATGACCCAACACAGAAAACTAAAGACTAAGCAACACAAACCCCAACAAAAACTGGGGGTGATCTCAGGTGCTCCAGAAGGGTAAGCAGATCCTGCTCCACTACTTCAACAATTTGTCATCGCAACTCCTGTGAATCCACAGAACAGAATTTCATGAAACTTTGTAGATGATAAGAACATACCTTGAAGATTTGCATATTAACAGGAAATAATGATTAATTTTTATGCCCCCGCCGTAGCAGTGGGGGCATTAAGTTTTACCCTTGTCCGTCTGTACGTACTTACCTCTGTCTGTACGTCCCAAAATTGGTTTCTGTTCTCTAAGTTGAGTTTGCCTCAACGAAATGTTATGAAACTTATACACAATGCTTATTTTCACAAAACACAGATCAAGTTGAATTTTGGTGGCATCACTGTAACCGTTCTAGAGTTATGCCCCTTTATAAATGGAGAAATTGCAAATTTTTTAGTTTCCGTTCTCTAACTTAAGTTTGCCTCAACCAAATGTTATGAAACTTATACACAATGCTTATTACCACAAAACACAGATCAAGTTTAAATTTTGGTAGCGTCACTTTAACTGTTCTAGAGTTATGCCCCTTTATAAATGGAAAAATTGCAAAATGTTTAGTTTCCATTCTCTTACTTAAGTTTGCCTCAACCAAATGTTATGAAACTTATACACAATGCTTATTTCCTCAAAACACAGATTAAATTTGAATTTTGGTGGCGTCACTTTAACCGTTCTAGAGTTATGCCCCTTTATAAATGGAAAAATTGCAAAATTTTTATTTTCTTCTAAATATAAAGTAATTTTTATACGACCGCAAAAATTGAAAATTTTTTGGTCGTATATTGGTATGACGTTGGCGTCGTCGTCGTCGTCGTCGTCATCGTCTGGCGTCGTCCGGCGTCGTCCGATGACACATTGGTTTTCGCACTCTAACTTTAGTTTAAGTGAATGGATCTCCATGAAATTTTACCATAAGGTTCAATACCACGAAAGGAAGGTTGGGATTGATTTTGGGGGTTATGGTACCAACAGTTAAGGAATTAGGGGCCAAAAAGGGGCCAAAAATAAGCTTTTCTGTAACTTCCAGACAATAACTTGTGTGTAAGTGTATGGATCTCTCTGACATTGTACCACAAGGTTCCATATCACAAAGGGAAGGCTGTAATTGATTTTGGGGGTAATTGCCTCAAAATTTTAGGAATTAGGGGCCAAAAAAGGGGAAAAAACAAGCATTTTTCTAGTTTCATGACAATAACTTGTGTGTAAGTGTTTGGATATTTCTGAAATTGTACTACAAGGTTCCATATCACAAAGGGAAAGCTGGAATTGAGTTTGTGGGTAATTGCCCAAAACGTTTAGGAATAGGGGGCCAAAAAGGGGCCAAAAATAAGCATTTTTCTAGTTTCCAGACAATAACTTGTGTTCAAGTGTATGGATCTCTCTGAAATTGTACTGCAAGGTACCATACCACAAAGGGAAGGCTGGGATTGAGTTTGGGGGTGACGAATCATAAGGGGGTTCAAAAAATTTGGGGGGGGGGGGGGATTTTTTTTTTTTCTTTTTTTCCTTTTTTTTTTTCTTTTAAAATTTTCCATTTTAAGTTGGTTATTTCTGATTAATATTTAAAAGCAAATAATAATGATATGGTAGGAGATACACACCAAACAGGATGTGTAAATTATTATATAATAAGTATTGTGCAATAGCAAGAAATTTTCAATTGCATAGTATTGCACAATTGCAAGAAATCTTCAATTGCACAGTATTGCGCAATAGCAAGAAATCTTCAATTGCACAGTATTGCGCAATAGCAAGAAATATCCAATAGCACAATATTGCGCAATAGCAAGAAATTGTCAATTGTACAGTATTGCACAATAGCAAGAAATATTCAATTGCACAGTATTGTGCAAAAGAAGATACTTCGTATTAATTGCTTATTTCTTGATCAATTTCAATGGGGTTTTATTCTTGAATTCTTGGGGTTCTTTAATATGCTGAATCTAACCAAGTATTAAGTTTTTGGATTTTGGGCCCCGTTTTTAAATTGGTCCACATTGTGGTCCAAATGGTCCAAAATTTAACTTTGTTTGATTTCATCAAAAATTGAATTATTGGGGTTCTTTGATATGCTGAATCTAACCGTGTATTTAGATTCTTAATTTTTGGTTCCGTTTTCAAATTGGTCTACATTAAGGTCAAAAGGGTCCAAAATTAAACTTAGTTTGATTTTAACAAAAATTGAATTTTTTGGGTTCTTTGATATGCTGAATCTAAACATGTATTTAGATTTTTGATTATGGGCCCAGTTTTCAAGTTGGTCCAAATCGGGGTCCAAAATTAAACTTTGTTTGATTTCAAAAAAAATTGAATATATATGGGGTTCTTTGATATGCTGAATCTAACCATGTATTTAGATTTTTGATTTTTGGGCTCCGTTATCAACTTTGTCCACATTGAGGTCAAAAGGGTCCAAAATTAAACTTTGTTTGATTTCATCAAAAATTGAATTCTTGGGGTTCTTTGATATGCTGAATCTAAACATGTGTTTAGATTTTTGAGTATGGGCCCAGTTTTCAAGTTGGTCCAAGTTGGGGTCTAAAATTAAACTTTGTTTGATTTCAACAAAAATTGAATATATGGGGTTCTTTGATATGCTGAATCTTACCGTGTATTTAGATTTTTTATTTTGTGGGCCCGCTATCAAATTGGTTCATATTGAGGTCAAAAGGGTCCAAAATTAAACTTTGTTTGATTTCATCAAAAATTTAATTATTGGGGTTCTTTGATATGCCAAATCTAACCGTGTATTTAGATTTTTAATTTTGGGTCCCGTTTTTTAAATTGGTCTACATTAAGGTCCAAAGGGTCCAAAATTAAACTTAGTTTGATTTTAACAAAAATTGAATTCTTGGGGTACTTTGATATGCTGAATCTAAACATGTGTTTAGATTTTTGATTATGGGACCAGTTTTCAAGTTTGTCCAAGTTGGGGTCCAAAATTAAACTTTGTTTGATTTCAACAAAAATTGAATATATGGGGTTCTTTGATATGCTGAATCTAACCATGTATTTTGATTTTGGACATTGGACCATAATAGGTAAATTAAAAAAATTGAAGTTCTTAGACCACATTCTTTCTGTGTCAGAAACCTATGCTGTGTCAAATATTTAATCACAATCCAAATTCAGAGCTGTATCAAGCTTGAATGTTGTGTCCATACTTGCCCCAACTGGTCAGGGTTCGACCTCTGCGGTCGTATCAAGCTGCGCCCAGCGAAGCATTTTATTAAAATTGGAGTTATCTTCCTTTGTCCATGATTATAGTTGAATCAACTACAATAAGTGCTTTATACAATGCAATGTTTAATTTTGACTTCCACTGATAAAACACAGATCAAGTTGAATTTGGGTAGTGTCACTTTAACTATTATTGAGTTATGCCCCTTTATAAATCGAAAGATTGCAAATTTTTTAGTTTCCATTTTGTTACTTAAGTTTGCCCCAACCAAACATTATGAAACTTATACACAATATTCATTACCACAAAACTAAGATCAAGTACAAATATTTTGTTTCTGTTTTCTAACTTTAGTTTGCCTCAACCAAATGTTATGAAACTTATACACAATGCTTATTACTACAGAATACAGATTAAGTACGAAATTTGGTAGCGACGCTTTTATCATTCTTGAGTATGTCCGTTTGTGTAAACATAAAAATTGCTGAATTTTTCGTTTCCGTTCTCTAACTTTAGTTTGTCTCAACCAAATGTTATAAAACTTATACACAACCGTTCTAGAGTTTTACAAATAGAAAAATTGCTGAATTTTTTGTCTCTGTTCTCTACTTAAGTTAGCCTCAACCAAATGTTATGAGACTTACACACAATGCTTATTACCACAAAACTCAGATCATGTTCAAATTGGGTAGCATCACTTTTACCGTTCTTCAGTTATGTCCCTTTATAACTATATGATATGTAAGCGGGGGCATCATCTGTGTCCACATGCGGACACTATCCACATTTGTTTTTTTTCTAGAAGTTATGTCCCTTTGAACTTAGAATTTTGGCCTATATATACTACTGCAACAGGTTGTCATCGCAACTCAATTTTTATGCCCCACCTAGGGGCATTATGTTTTTCGGTCTGTTCGTCTGTCTGTCCCACTTCAGGTTAAAGTTTTTGGTCAAGGTAGTTTTTGATGAAGTTGAAGTCAAATCAACTTGAAACTTAGTACATATGTTCCCTATGATATGATCTTTCTAATTTTAATGCCAGATTAGAGTTTTGACCCCAATTTCACGGTCCACTGAACATAGAAAAGTGCGAGTGGGGCATCCGTGTACTATGGACACATTCTTGTTATCAGTTGGCTTTTGTCTGAGTTATAAGTCTTTGAACTTAGGAATCTGGTGATACTTTGTTTGCCCAGTGACAATGTTGGTGCTTTGGGTATGTGAGTGTGCTCACAAAGATTCTTTAATTATGTAATTTTTTTTTTGCTTATTTTTACAGTTGAAGCAATGTTAAGAGATGCAGGAACACAACCAGGAGGACAGATAAGATACAATGAATTTGTAAAGACATTGTTAACTCCTGTACCAGATTATTAAAACATTTATATGAGAGTCTCAAGTATGGCCACATCACAATGACTTTTAGTTCTTCAAATTACCATTCCACTGAAAAATCATGCAAAGTGACTCATGGGTGAAGATCATACACATTTTTATCTTTGTCAATTTAGATGTTTTGTTCAAAATGCAAAGTTCTTTTTAAATATCATCCATAATATTTATGTGTACCCATGTAAGAGAGATATAAATAAACATATGAAATGTCTAGAAAGGGTGATAACTCAAGAAGTACATTCCATTGTTACAGTAAATATAAAGTAAATTTTTCTTTTAGGATCAGGCAATAAGAATAAATATCCATGTCATGATGTACACCAATAATATAGTAAACTATCAAAATGTGTAGCCTTTTTTTCAGATAAAACACATTTCTCATAAATTGCATGACTAAATGGAAGGCTACTTAAAAGTTTTCTACCTATTAAAGTTTCTTATGGAAAATAAAATCACCTTTAAAAATGTATGGAATCTTGTCTCTCCCGTAAGACTTTTTTTTTTTATTTTAAAGAATCATTTTGTTCTTTTTTTCTGATTACAAATGAAATTCAAATCATGCATAATATCTTAGCATCGAATCTTCTCTTACCCTAGAATCTTAAAAATTATAATTTAAATTGATGTGGCCATACTTCCCCAGAATTATTACAAGATTTGTAAATTGCAAGCATTATTAGTACACAAAAATATTGTTTTTTTCATTTAGCATACCATCACATAATAAGAAAAACTCCCAATGTAAAATGAAAAAAGTTCAAAGATCATTTATACAGTTAACAAAGAACTTGGTTACAACTGTTTTTTGATACACTATATCACATTTTTATTATTGTAACATATCAGATATTGCTTGTATAATAAAGGCCATATGTAGACTGGTCTTAAAAAAGTTGTCTTTCATTTAATATGGTTGTGTAAAATTAAAATATGTATAACTGTAACTAAAATTGTTATTTCCGTACTAAATAAGTTTCACCATGGCAGCAACTGAGGGATATTTTTTGTAAGAAAAGGTTATCTGTTAGTCATTCCTCATAAGTAATGCTTTGTAAAATTTAATCAAATTCTTTATTTTAAGAGGATCAACAGTGGGAATTCTTTATTTCACCCTGCCAGGCATGAAATTTTAATTGATCATTTCCTATAACCCTTCAGGCTATCCTTCTTAAATAACCACCACAAATAAAATTTTAATAGATTTGCCTTTGGACCCCTTGACCACACTGTTAAACTTTTCTTTAATAGAAAGCCTTTCAATTCACATTTCAAAATCTAAAGGACGATGGGTATTTTCAACATTCATATCCCCAAAATAAAAAAAAAAACGTGACATCATTGGTTGAATTTACATTGTTAAGGACATTTTTAACCAATCATATCGTTCTGATGTACACTTTTGAAAATATTACCCAGAATGCTTAAGATCTTGAACCAGCAAACTATAAAGGGTGTTAAACCACACTCTATAAAATTAATTAATAATATGTACTTGTCAGTTGTGCTTATTGTTATGATATATGAATGTATATTTTATATTGATATATTTCTACAAAGAATAAAATGTTGACATATATAATTTGTCATAAATTGTCGCAACATTTTTTTAAACACACAAGGCCACATAACCTGTGTGAGATTTCTAAGCCTGTGGCATCAGTTTATTCCTGTTTATGGGAAATGAATGGTGTTACTGGGCACAATTGTATTAAACGCTTAGTCTAGAAGTCATAAGAGAGGTAACGCAGTACGTTGAACACATCTATGGGTGCATTTCATTTGCGCGCATTTGGGGATTCGATTTTTTTACGTCTGTGTGCATCTTTTTATTAGCTCACCTGGCCCAGGAACATATATATTGACGGGACTGGACACTACCTAATTATAGCCAATTTTATTGTCGGGTCATAGTTAATAAATTACACGAAATGGAAACGGACATGTGTAAAATACATACTCGCTTTTATCTTAATAATTTCTGATAATATCAATAAAATGTCATTCAAACTAAGTAATAAGTGATGCCAGTGTATCGAACTTTTAATCTGTCACTTCAAATTTTTCATAGTCGCATTCATTTCATCACAGAAGGGTACAGAATGCATACTGGGTAATAAAAAAATGGCGCAGATGGCATTCCCAGTAACCGCAAATTTCACAAAACCATTATAAAACACTTCACATCAAATAAATCACACATATGTTGGACATTTTAATTGACAAAATATATCTACTTTACGATAAAACTTATCAATTCATTGTATTTGTTGAACATTTGGAATTGTGTGAAAGGCCTATCAGATTCATTTCCCGTTAGATATACTGTTCCCAGCCTGGCCCAAAGGGCCACGTGAGCTTTTCTCATCACTTTGGCATCCGTCATCGTCATCTGTTAACTTTTACAAAAATCTTCTCTGAAAATACTGGGCCAAACTTGGCCACAATAATCATAGGGGTATCTAGTTTAAAATATGTGTCCAATAACCCCGCCTGCTAATCAAGATGGCCGACATGGCTAAAAATAGAACATAGGGGTAAAATGCAAGTTTTGTCTATTATTTTGAAAACCTTTATAAATAGAGAAAATCTAACAGGCGCAGAAATGTTCAGAATGTTGAGCTCTACCAGTTGTCCATATACGCGAAAACTGTCAGATGACTTCTTATAGTTTACCCTTTCTTTTTAATTTTTGCCTTTTATCTTGAAAATTATAATAGATAGAGAGACCCTCTAAGGTAGCACAATACAAAGATTTTATACCTCCAACTCCCCAGTTTTAAAATGCTGTAACTTTCTTTATAATGCTTGAAAATTTATAAAAGTGGTATTTATGGATAGCTAACAGATTACTCTTTCAAATTAATGCAATGTTAGTATTATACAACAATTATGTAATTAATTATAGTTTTAACTGTGTCTACAAAATTTTACAAGAAATTTCCACTTTCACTTGAAATTAGCTTCTTTATGGATACCCCGAGAGGGTTGATTTTATAATATGTTGTTCCTAGAGCCATTATCTACAAAAGGGTGTCTCAGATTTTGGATAGAATGTATAGATCAAATTTTACACCTAATCAAATAATCTCTACTTTTATGTGGTAAGGATGTTTACACTAACTACAGATTTATGAGAGAATGGAATATGATAGCGATAATTTGAGACACCCTTTTGTAGCTCCGGCTGTGTTGATTAAGATAATGTTAAAATTTCTTGTGTAGTTATAGAGATGTCAGAGCTAAATTCATTCAAGTGAACTGACCAAGAATTTGCCATTAATTGCATAGTAATTGATTACATAATGATTGCATAACAAAAATATTGCATTCATTTAAAAGATTAATCTTTTATCTATCTATATATACCTCTTTTATTAATTTGTATGCAGTCATAAGAAAGTAACATAATTTTAAAGGTTGGAGATTGGAAGTAAAAAAATCTTTGTATTGTGCTACCTTAAATTTAAAATATGATCAGTAAGACAAGTTCCACAAATAAGTCTACATGGTCAAAATCCTCAGTGGACTCCTTATTAGAGCTATTGCCCTTTGATATCGATTTTTACAATTTTTTTTGCATTTTTGCCTTTTACCTTTAACATTATTATAGATAGATAAAGACTTATGTAAGCAAAAATTATCAGCCAGACAAGATCTTCAATTAAGACAATATGGAGGAAATCGTCCGACGACTCCTTATTGGAGTTATTGCCTTTTAATGATGATTTTCACCATTTTTTTGCGTTTTGCTTTATGTGATAAAAATTATAATAGATAAATAGACACGTTAAATCACAAAAATGATCAGCAAATCAAGATCTACTAACAAGTCAAAATTTGTCAATATAGTTAGTAGACTTTCGCTCTTTATAGGAGTGATTGCCCTTATTAAAATGAGGATTTGTTTACCTTCTTTTGTGTTTTGAGCAAAAACTAAAGAAGATTCAGAGAAACTAAACAGGCTAAATGATCAGCAATAAAAGATCAACAAAACAGAGATTTTTGTCATGGGTTCTATTCTTGTCTTCAATGTTGTATAGTGTCCTTTGTTGAATATGCACATAGATCCAAGATGAGCGACACAGGCTCTTTAGAGCCTCTAGTTACATTTGTGCGCATTCATTTTACAGGTAAATATACAGATAATTCAAAATAAATTTGTCAATAGTTATTAACTTTGTGCATATTTATCATTTCAAATTATATATTTTTCATATTTATTAAAAAATATATATATATATTAGTGATCATGGGAAATCCCGTAATCGCTTAAGGCATTGTAAGGCATACATGTAACTAATTGCAAATATTGCCGAGTGAAGTATTGTGTTTCCAAACATAAAGGATGTGATACACCAGTATTTGTAAGAAGAAGTGAGGAAGTGAAAATAGAGTTTCTGATGGAGCAATTCCGAAAATACCAGAAAAGTTGACAGAATTCATTTTTCTTAATGCAGTAGGTTTCAAATAATCAGCATGTACCGATATGTTAAATCAGAAATGTTGGTCGATCTTTAGACTTAGCGCTTCTGCATAATAAAACGGACTTATCCTGCTAGAAACCCCACTTCAACATCATTGGCGGCGTCAACAATTGTTACGTTTTATGCTCAAGTCAGTTTGATAAGAGCTAATTGTGCTAGATCAATCATATTTTGTTTACAGTTGCTTTACTATCAGTACATATCACGTTGATGACTATTTCGAGGCCCTGCCCAGTGGCGGATCCAGAGGGGGGCGTAGAGGGCGTACGCCCCCCCTTTGCTTGCACTTTTTTTTTCTGTAAAATGATTAATCAGACTAGACTTCGTGAACTTTGCCATTTTCCGCGTATTTAATTTTTATGCGGCAATTCTTTACTTATAAAGATATGTTTCGCTCGTATTTACTGTAATATATTATTGATTATGTCAAAATCATGTGATTCGCTACGGTGGAGTTGACCATGCAGTGCGTCGAAAAAACGTCACTCAGTCATTTTGAAATTCAAATTACAGTAACACATTGCTTAGGCTGATGATGACAAGCATGACACCTTCAAAGCGACAAAGGATTGAGCAAGAACGTATTTATTGACTTCTATTTCACAATTCCACCGAACAGAAAGTAATACTCTTACACTTTCATGAAAAAAAGTTTCACAGCAGTATTATTTACCTACGAAAACATGTTTAACCCAACACGCCCCAGCCTATTAATAACATAGCTGAATAATGATCCCCAGTCAATAAGCTAGATAGATTTAAAGTCTAAGGTACGGACCATTTGATTTGAGGGGCAGTCTGAGATGTTTGAGAGAAAAAATTCTGACCCTGATTTTTGCCTTAACTAAAATTCTGGCCGTATCTGGATTGAAAACAATAATTTTGTCCACTTTTTTTGCTATTAGAAACAAAAATTTCCAACAGAATTATTTAGCACTAAATGAACATGATGAATAAAAAAACGGGCGTAATTTTTTTGGGGCCGGGGGTTTGCAGGTTAATCCCATATCTGACCGGAATGTCTGTTTCGTCGAACTGATAAAATGAATACTTTTTCAAGGCCCGACTGCAACCTGCCTGCTGGGTGTGGCCTTTATGTCTCCATTTGTCGACCGTCATTCATATATTCGTTGTCATTTCAGACTCATTCGTAGCCTTTGGTTGATTTGAAACCCCTCACTTCCCTTGTTGGGTGAAACATTTCAACCGAACATTTGGATAAAAATTGCTTGTTTGTCTTTCTTAACTCGTGTCGGTATTGTAAATTTCATTGAATAGCCCGGCGTATATCTTGTTTACAACAAGAAATCCGTGACGTTATGCTAACTAAACATACAACAAACGAGAATTTTCCATGTCAATTTTTTACTGACAAGTCCCACATCAAATATATTAGTACATAGCTTTGGATCCATCCAATCATTTTATAATAGACAATTAATGGGGAGAATACGGAATCAAAAATGTCCAACCCTTACACTTTAACTATAAAATATACATGCCTTGCGTCAGGAACCGTTAAAAAAGTGCATTTTACACTTATTTTATGTTTTTTAGCCAAAAAAAGGTCCAAAAACATTTTCTTTACATACTTCGCCCCCCCCCCCTATTTTCTATAAAGTTGCATTACTATCAGTACATATCAGTTTGACGACTGTTTCGGGGCCCTGCCACCTAGGTTATAATTGTCCAGTGACTCAATATTTTTAGCAATTTTGAAAGTTAAGTTTTCTGCTTAAGTTATACAAATACGAATACGAAAGTTTTATTTTGATTATGTTCACATATAACAGTACAAACATAAGCTCTTGAGAGCTTTTTACCGACTAAATTAACATGTATTAGTTTAATAAGAACTACTTGTGATAAATCAATGATACTTTCTATAAAGTTGCATTACTATCAGTACTTATCAGCATGACTACTACTTCCAGGCCCAGTCCCCTACCAGCGGCTTCGAATTAATTAGCAATATTGCTGTCCATCAGATTGTCTTTTTTTCGAAATTTCTGCCGAAGGGCGAGATATATCTCTGTGTCAACAGTTTATTATGCATGCCGGTAACATCCCGTTAGTACGACAACCATTATTCCGA